TTCCAAATAGTTCTGTTAGTAAGGAAGGAGGAAGAAAAAAAAAAACTTTCCTATAATGGGTCCTTTTTCAAAGTATCATTGTGATGTTGCTATCTGGTGCTAAGGAACTATAAAAAATCGCACAATCCTTTGCGTGACTTTAGATACTGTACAAGCACAGCCCACCTCAAATAAATTAACAAAAAAAATTGCCTTACATGTGCTGTGTGGTGCATGAAAATATACTCACTTTATATGTTTTTTTAATGTAGTTAGCTCTTTGCTATATATTCTCACTTTGTTTTTAATTGAAGTGTTTCTTTTGATAGGCTGTTTGACTTGCATTTCTGTTGTACAATGACATCAGAGGGCTAAAACTGAAAACACTTGGCACAGTAGTTGAGCTTTATTTTCTACCCATGACAGTGTTCTTATTGTCAAACCCACGAACGATGAAGGAACATGATACAGGAACAGCAAAGAACAGCCTTATATTCAAAAAGAGTATTCAATGAATGAATTTGTTTTTTATATATATAATGTGTCATAGTGTAATATTTAGAATCGGAAGAGCACTTTGTTTTTTGCATGCACAACGTGACAAACAATTTAATGGTTAATTATGTTATATAGATTGTTACTATATTGATACCATTTACTTATAAAAATGTTTATTGTAATAACGGGGATAATTAATGCTAGAAAATTGTGTCAATGTTTGTCCTGTTTGTACAGGCCAGATTTCCATAATTGTATTATCTACTGTATGATCAGTATAATCATACAGTAGATCATACAGTATGATTGTGCTGTATGATCTGGTGAACTGTAAGATGCCTTAAGATGACATGTGTTGTGAACTGGCACTATATAAATAAACTGNTTTCACGTTCCAATAGATCATACAGTATGATTGTGCTGTATGATCTGGTGAACTGTAAGATGCCTTAAGATGACATGTGTTGTGAACTGGCACTATATAAATAAACTGAATTGAATTTAATAATTGCCAGGAAAAAAGACTAACTGCACTCTCTCTGTGCAATAGGGGGCAGTGCAGCCTGTTCCCCTACACTCAGAAGAACTTTAAGATCCTCCAAAGCTTTCTAAGGATGTATTCAGTCTTTATTTACTCATTGAACGGCTTGACCCCTGAAACCAACTGTACCATAGCCTCATGTCGATTTCATGGAACAGTGGGATCAATACCAGCATTTAGAGTCTCGACTTTGGCATAAATGTATGAACCAGTTCAATGTTTCATTATCTCAGCAGAGTATTTTAATACAAGGATTACATTACTAATATCAATGAAACAATGATTTATTGGGGGGCATTAATTAAAAGTCTATAACTGTTCATTTCATACCAGCGTGCCTTTTAATATACGCATTTATTTTTGACAGAGGACCAAGAATTGTGTAAAACCAACAACTTTACACAATATTACATAAGAGAGACAAAAGAGACTCTCAGAAGGCTTATATATTTAATACGGAAAACAATTCAAAGCGTTGTTAAGCGGAACATAGGCATATTTCTGAATGTAAAGCCTAGTGACAGCATAACCTACTAAGAAAAATATGAGAAAATGCAGCATTTTGGTCAAAATCTTTTTTGTTTTTCTTTGTTCATTTCAGAGCTTCCCCTCTTCTATTTCACTTTTTCTATAGAGGTGTCAGGTTTTATGAAAAATGTTCTCTCCCCCTACAGAAAACAAATTCATTTTGATTTTAGTTGCATGACCATCTTTTCATCCATTCTCAAATCTAAATCTAAATGTTACATCTGCACAGGTATGTACAGTATTTCCGTGTATGAAGGCTATTTTTTGCCTATCTGCATCAATATGCTGTGGCTGCCCTCTCTTGGCAGGTGATGTGGGTGGAACCTGACCAGCCTATCTGATGCCTGCAGGGATTAGTCAGCTTTTCTGGTTACTCTGTATGGGTCAACTGGTTTCAGTTTGTATAGCAAAATTCCTTGTTATATTGTGATTTGTAAGCTCTTAATTTACAGAGTTTAAAAGTAATATACTTATCAAATTAAGTTAAAATTGAAAAACTCATAGTGACACAAAGTAAATAATATTATGTTTTCAGACATTTTCATAATTTTTTTGTTTAATTTTCACTAAGATCTACTTGGAAGAGACTGATCAATAAAATGTAAATTTAAGATTTCCACAACTTGTCATCCACAGGGATATGTGCATGTGGGTAAATGTGTGCTCTTGTTATAGAATAAAAGTAAATACCTGTGTCTGTTTTTGACCTTTGTAGTGAGGACATTTTTACATAGTTAGAACATTTTGACCGGTCCTCATGAGCTATTTTGCTGTTAGGTTTATTGCTAATGTGTAAATCAGGTTACGTTTTGGGTGAGGTACATCTGCACTTGTAATGGTGAGGTTTATTGTCAGGGTTGCATAGAAATGGTTAAAAATGACTGAAAATCAGTTAAAGTCAATGGGAGGTAACACATGATCCTTGAGAGAGAACCATATTTTTTATTTTACCAGCAAAGTAGAGTCATTTGGGAAAAGTGGGGTCATTGAGCTCTTTTCATACTAATGGGTCGAGTTAGCATTAGGGTCTGGGTCAGGCCATAGAAATGAATGGATGTCATGTAAAGTCCTCATAGAGACAGTAAAGCTCTGAGATGTTTGTGTATTTGTTTTTGCCTGTGACCAGCGGGTGCCTCCTCACAGCTGGAGCTCAAGTCCAATCAGGAGGAGCTTAAAGAGTAGCAGACTCCCTGAGGCAGACACCGGATTGTTCTTGCACATTAACTGCCAATCAGGCCTCCTTTACTTTGCAGCTTGTACATTCTCTCTTAAAATCCACCAAGGTCCTGATCTTCTGAAGGTTTGTGTCTTATAACAGGTGTGAACATATTTGTACGTGCGGAGCAGATCTTTAAAGAGGGCCCTGAGTAATTTGTGTCTACAATTCAGCACACAACACATGCAACATGCATGCTTTTTTTGCATTTATGCCTTCAGCATGTCCTGCGTTTTTTCCTTTATCTTCCTACACCAGGTTCCAGCCATAGATCGATAGATCTATACTCTGCTCTTGAAGAAAATAATAAAATAACAAAAAAAATAAAAAAAGTAATCATAGAAAATGAATCATAACTTATATTTTTACTAAATAAAACATTGATTTTGAAATTTACTTTGAAAAACATTAATAAAAAAAGGAAACAGGTGCAGAAATCTGACTGAACTTTTCATGAATTTTACACATTATTTCAGTGAGTAAATTAAAGTGTTGCTCAACAAAATTTATATATATATATATATATGTGTGTGTGTGTGTGTGTGACAAGGAAAGCGCTTACGGCCAAATACCTCCAATGAGTGAGGCAGGTCCTAAGAAGCCAGCTCAATGGCAAGAATTAGTCTTGGGTAATAATTAGCTATGCTCTACCAGTAATCAGATGCCCTGCAGGAATAATAAGCTGGCCAAAGGATGAGATACAAGCCACATTCAGCCCCCCAAATCCAGCACCCTGAGACTGTACGGCAGCCGCAAGAAAGGAGGCCGAGGACTAGTGAGAGTGAGAGTCACTGTCCAGGATGAAACATCCATGATCCATCAGTACATCAAAAAAGAGAGACTGCCCGCAGTGGGTGAGGTAGAGTTTTTTTTTGTTTTTTGTTTCTTTGTTTTTTTACAGAAAATCTATGTCATGATTTTCATTATTTGTTGTTTTATTTATCATTGCTTTTTTCTTATTCATTTTTATTTGACTGAGAGCTGATATTTTTTATCTAAACTTACAGGAACAACATAACTGTGTGTGTGCTCTTATATTGTGGGGCCCGTTTTCAGGTGAAATGGTAAGCAGTGGGAACCGACTGCTCATTGTGAGGCCAAATGCCTGGACCTCACATGGAGACTTGTTGTGTTTTGTGTGTGTGCGTGTGTTTCTATGCAGTGTAGAAAATAATCATGCCTCAAGTGTGTAAAGCACAAATGTTGTTCTTTACTTATGAGCAACATACAAGTATGAGGTAATATGGGGTGACGTAAACAGGCTACTTGCCTTACAGTGGCGCCAAAGCAAAACAGTCCGGATTTTTGTTTTTCATGTTTGATGAATTAAAACAGTTGATTGAAGCAGTTAATTGTGACAAATGGGTCTTTGAAGCACTTTCTAACATTTAAATCACCATTAAATTAGCTGTTATCCAACAAGAACCAATGGAAATAGTTAAGTAAGTAGTTAAACATTAGCTCAGTATATAACTGCTGTATACATGTTCTTCAGTAAATGATATAGAGTTAATATTGAAGCTGGTTACAAAAGTAAAATTTGCCCTTTTTCCCTAAAATAGAGCATATAATTGTTCTAATATTATAAGGATATATTTGTTTTCAGTTGTTCCAAGAAATACATTATAAAATTTATTATTTTATTATTTTAATATATGTTTTTTTTTTTTTTTTTACAATTTAAAAAAAGTTTTCATAGTTTTTAAGGTACTATAAAATAAAGCTGAAATGACTACATTATTTTTTATAGTTTTAAAATGTTTACCTTTCTTCTATTGTCTCGTGCTAAACTAAAACGTTGGAGTAAAATGAACTTGATTACATTTTACCGCTAAGGTCTGGTTATTTTTCCATTATATGGTCCTCCTGTCCCAGAGAGTCCCTAATTTGAAAATTTTCTGTTCCAGCAAGTCCTACTTCTTTGCTCTAATCTCTTCCCACACCTGGTTCCACTGGTCACTGGTATCTTTCCTTGTGGTGCCTCCACATCACTTTCAGATCATATCAGTGGACTCTAATCTCATATTTTTCCCACGTTTCCCTCCAGCCTGATAATTCCTTAATCAGAGGCAGCCTACAGCCTGAAATGTCACCAGGCAATTGACATTAACCTGTGCCTCACAAAGGCTTTAATAGAGCAGACATTTCTGGAATTTCTTACAGGTTTCAATGCCCCTGGGTCACCATATTGTCTTACTACCACAGGCAGGCAAGGGAGGGAGAATTTGTTGTGACATCACTAAAGAGGAGAGGCATAAAGTTCAGATATCAGCTGCTAAACAAGCAGAGCAGCAGCAGAAGCAACAAGTCTCTGATGAGCCTCACCTACATCGTATCAACCATGCCTACTCATAGTAACCTTATCCTTCTGGTTACTCTTTGGGCCTCAGTTCAGGAAGGTAAGTTTTCTGCCATAAATTCTCCTTTTAAGTTTAGAAAATATTTAATAAAAAATATATTTGAAAGCAATTTAGTTTTTATGTATGTGGTTTGACGTAAATAGGCATCAATCTTATTAACAATTAACCACACTTTCCTCAGAGCTAAAAAGCAGCAGTTAAACTTAAAAAATCCTCACATGAAAATGATCTATTATGATTCTGCTTTTTTTCTGTTTATTTATTTTATTTCCTTTAAAAGTCAAAATTTTCTCAATCAATATGTGAATCAATTTTTCCTCCCAGGCAAAATATGACAGCCTCTTAAGTAAATTTAAATACATGCCTAAGAAACAAACATAAGTTCTACATTTCCATTTTCATCCTGGTTTCTGATTTTTATTTTGTTATGTTGGCAGGATTTAATTCAAGCTGATATTTTTTTTTTTATAAAATTCACACTCAGTATTTCTAGTGTCTAATCTTTTTTTTATTATTTTGCATCAAATCCCAAATTGCTTTTCACAGCACTTGTGATAAAATGAAATTGAATATAAAAAAAAAATTATGTAAAAAAAAATAAACATGCATGTAATGGAAGTGCAATTTGGGGATGAAGCTGTATTTGCAAAGTCTGTTATTTTATTTTTTTTTCTGGACCATTCAGGTTTTGGTTTCCCAGTGCTAAAGCAGCCAGAGCCAGAAGCTGTTGACAGTCTAGGGACTCACCCGGTGAGGGCCAAGCGCTGCGCCTGCAGCAACCTGTTGGATTCTGAATGCCACTACTTCTGCCACCTAGACATCATCTGGGTCAATACACCCAGGTGGGTACATTAAATACCTAATGCAGTTTTATATTATATGTTAAAATTGATTGCTATACTTTGCAACGATTCAGAGCAACCCCGGAACTCTTTGCAGTGACTTAGCTTGTCTAGAATGAATAAAATGCCTCTACAGTCTATTGCTTCTCTGAAAACCTCTGAATGACCCTCCTATCATTATTGCCTTGTCATTTAACATGCAGCTGCTGGATGACAGAGAGCAAAGTCTGCGGTATGTTTATGCCACTGAGGTTGCATTTTATTCCACAGTAAGACAACGATTTATGGCCTAGGTGGGGGTTTGCGGCGGCGTAAAAGGTTTGCCGGGCGCTGTACCTGTGCCAGGCTCGATGACAAGACCTGCACCAGTTTCTGCCAACTCCGGTGAGTTTGGGATCTAAAGCATTCATTACTGAGCATCACCCAGAAAGAAACAATTTGTTCAGGTAGTTACAGTAAGAAGGACAGGGAGTGGTGGGGTGTGAGACAGCAGCTTGTTCTATATTTAGCCCAAACGTGCCTCACACGTCCTGCATGTCTACAGGTGTGAGCATCAAAACAGTCCTGCTGAGGCCTGAAGGACTAGCGGCAGACGCAAAGTCTGCAAAGGTTGATTCAATTTGCCCTGAGGACGTTTGTGTGTTGGTAGCACTGAAACCTTCAGTCACATTCCCCCAAAAGGTGCTGTATCGTCAGCACCTTAAAGCCAAGTAGACAGTGAGCTGAAGAATCATGCATCCTTTAAACGTTTACCAGTTTTGTCATGTTGCATCTGCAAACTTGAGTGTATTTTCTGGGGATTCTATGCAGTAGTTCCAGACAAGATGAGAAAATAGTCTATAGTTTTCACATCTAAAAACTTTAAAGGGAAAATGCAGCTGTATCCCGTCCCCCATATGTCAGTAGAACCCCCTTTTTTGAAAATATAGTAATTTTCCTGCTGGATTGAAAATTAACCCCTGTCCCTGGTTTTAAGCCTCTGACAAGTTTGATTTTCTTAATTTATCTTCTTTTTTCTGGCTAAAGACCAGAACCCCACATCATGATGCCGCCACCACTATGTTTTGTTTTGGGGAGGTTCTTCACGACAATGTGTAGTGTTAGCTTTTACCCTACAAATAAAACATTTTGCCTGAAACTATGCAAGTTGGATTAGGTGTCATCTAGTGTGATCATGCTTATTCATAATTAATCAATGAATTTAACCAATACATTTTTGGATGACTTTTCTGTTTCCTTCTCTTCAGCCCTGAAATCCAGTCTGAGAAAAGGCCTCATCTTGACATGCTCAACATCTTGAGGTGAGTTTAAGAAAGTATACGTCACATGTTTTTTTACTTTGTTAATTCGTACTTTGGCCCTCTGACATCTCCTCTTTCTCTCTCTCTCTCTCTCTCTCTCTCTCTCTCTCTCTCTCTCTCTCTCTCAGAGCTGCAGCCAATAACTCAAAGCAAGCACTGGCTGCAGGGCACTCAGGCGGAGGTCAGTTGCCACAGGGTGAGGAAGAGAACGCCTGAAGTAGTGGTAGCGCAGGGGAAAGAAAGAGGGAGCAGAAGGCGAGCACCTGAACAAATGAAACTCCTTCAGCAGAAAGGGGTTGCTAAGAGATGTGTCCGATCAGGGAAGGCCACATATTCTGTTTGTTCCTGCAAATAGAAAGCTGAAAAAAACCAACATGCCCAAGCTCTGCAGGTACCCAGAGGAAACAGATGTGGAGGATCGGAGATGATGGAGATGCTACCGGATTATATTTAAATCTGGATGTGGAGTGTGTGGGAGCAGAGGCGACTGACTCACAGCTTTGAAAGAAAGACAGTGTACATGCATGGATATATATGGGAGATGCATGCTATGTTTGCTTTCATATAACCAATTTCTTTTTTTTTTTCTTTTTTTTTAATAAAGATTATATATCAGAATTATTATTTCAGTAACCATATGACTATTTTGTATTTTTTTTTGTTATGGAAAATGCAAGAGATCATAAAAAATGAATAAAAATAAGATTTATTCAAGTTTGATCTGCTTCAGAATTCCTAAATCTTGTATTACAAATTTTAATTCAAAAACAATATTTTAAAAAGAAAAAATAAAAATACATAAAGTAACTAATAAAAAAAGAAGAAGAATTCAAAGGAACGCAAAATCCCATTAGAGGAACATGTGTGATTCAATTGTGTGTCAAGCAAACACAGTTCTGGCTTCAAAAGGAGGCCTTGTATGGATGAATGGCTCAGGAATTCACCGCTTCACATCAATAATGAGTTTACCTGCTATTCAGAGACGGCAAGAACCATGTTATCACTGGGATCTGTGAAAAGAATGCAGTGTTATTTAAGTCAGGGAGGCACAACATTCCTTGTCACCCTGTGTTTTTCTTTGCTTGCAACTCAAACACAGTGCAAGCACACCTGAATACGCAAGGAGGTCAGTGAAAGTCTGCACAAAACAAAAACAGCAACATAAACTATTTTTCTGGCTAATCAGGCAGTACAGACAAACAACAGCAGCTATCTGTTAATTTGCATCTAGTTTGAAGTAGTGGGCTGACTGTATTTCAGGGCATTCTTTACATACTTGGGCTTTTCTTCATAGAGACCCCCTGCAGCCACCCTTCCCTGACAGGCCTGAACAAAGCCACAGGCAGCCTGCCTCCAGCGTGGAATACAATTAGTTTTGCACGCAGATGATGCACTGCAATGCTTTAAATAGCAATGAGAATGCTCAAAATCACAATCACGGTCTTTTTCTTCTGTAAATAAAACAGATTATTTTTTTCTATGCTATCTGGGAGGTTCACACTGTTGTGGTTTTCTTTTCCTTTTTTATCACAGTTGTCAAGAGCCGGTCACAGTGATAACACTATCAGTAGACCTGATCGTGTTGTATAATATCTTATGAGGTTGAATAAGATATGAATCTCATAAAAGGTGTTTGTCATCCAGTGTCACGAAATATGGCCTCCATGTGCCTCGGGGAGCAAACTCTGTCCATGGTGCTGGCATGGAGAGAAACAGTAAATAGATTTAGGAGCAAGAAGAACAGGTGCAACATTTAGTCTATGTAGGATTTATTTTTTCTAAAAGTTTCTCATATTAGAAACTTTTAGAACTAAAAACTGATTATTATGCATATAAAGGTTAATGATTGTAGTGCTGTTTATTTTTTTCTCATATCAATCTGATACATCATTACTTTTTTTTCTATAGATCATAGAAAAATTGTTCATAGGCTGAGTAAATACAAAAAATCTATATTTTTTTAATGATATTGTATTTCCGTAAAAGTTCAAAAAATATCCACTGGACTTGGTTTCCAAGATTTGAAGATGTTTCGCCACCTCTCCAGGAAGCTTTCTCAATTCATTTGAATTGAGAAAGCTTCCTGGTCAAGTCCAGTGGATATTTTTTGAACTTTTATGGAATGACCTGGATGACTGAGAATCTTAATCAGCAGATGATATTGTAATTTATTCATGGAAAAAGATAGATAACCATACATACATGCCCCAGAAATGTTATTGCTGTTTGTATCACACTTCCTGGCAACAACTGCCATAAAGCTTTTCTGATTGTGTACATTTACTTCTGCAAAGCTCATCCCAAACCTACATTTTCTATTTGAGGGAAAATACAGATAGGATAGGGGTTTTGTTGGTGTGGTTTGCATCATTTTGCTGTTAACTCTATTAACTGATGGATGGATTTTTTTCCATAGATTTTTGGGGGGAGAAAACAGAATCAATGGTTTCACCAGGTACAGTCAGTCATCCTGGTAATGAAAAAAAAGCTACTTCAGATCATCACACCACTACCACTACGTTTTAATGCTGGTATGATGATGAAAGCAATCCAACCATTATGCTCTGTTGGTTTTAAGGCAATGTAACATTGTGCCAGACTAAGCAAAGAATCCTATGTTATAAAGTGGCCTGCAAAAATACCCTCTTAAATCACTTTAGTGTTATTTTAGCAGTGTGCTTCAGGTTGTCATCTTGCTGGAAGATCATTCTGTTTCCCATTCTCAAATCACAGGGAGATTGACACAAGTATGATTCAAACATTCCTACAGCATGACTCTGCCACCGCCATGTTTCACTGTGGGGATGGGACATACTGTAGCATTTTTCTAGGTGGCCGAAAACCAATATTTTAGTCTCATGTGACCAGAGCACCATTCTTCATCCTTTTGGGGTGTAATTTAGATGCCGTTTAAAAAATAAAAACGGGCATTCATATTTTAATCACCACGCCAAAGTTTTTCTGGCCATCCTTCCATTAAGTCCACCTCTATGAAGGGCTTTTTGAGGTCAGGTTCTCCAGTCTCTGCAACTCTTTCTGGGTTACCTCTGATCTCTCTGCTGTATTTCTGATTAATGCCCTCTTTTTCCACTTTGGGTTTTGGTGGGCAGCCCTCTCTTGACCAGTGATGCTCCAAGGCCACATTCAGATTTGCATATTTTTGATAACACCACCATGACTTGTAAGTCACCAAGAGACAACTTTGTGCCTAACTTGTTTGGAATTTTCATACAAAAACTTTAAAAATAGGGGACTCTAGGAATAGGCAGGAAGAAGAGACAGCCTTTTTACCTCAATGCTTAAAGAATGCGCATTAAAACACAGTTGGGACTGTATTTTGCAATAAAACAAATATTAGTATTATTTAGACTCATTTGTAAATGCAAATATATTCACTTAAAAAGCATTAGTATCACCCTAAGAGAGTGTTTGTTGCAAATAGTGTCTTTCATTGTGAGTTTTTTCTGACATTATCAGATGTTAAAGGTGCTATATGTCCCTTCTTTCTTTAATTTTTAAAACTTTTGTCCAACATCAGTAATAAACTTTTAGAGAAGTTGCACCACAAAAATCTGATATGTGGTTTAGAATTGCAAGAGGAAGGCTTATTTTCTATGCTTAGAAAACATATTTATTGTGCAGGAATAAGGTCTTAGCTCTATTACACTGGTAGCCAAGTAATCGACATTTCGTTGTCAATATTCACCTTGTGTTTTTTTGTGCAATGACAATAAAGGAAGTCTAAGTCTAAGTCTTATTTGAAAGACATGTTGTTTGCAGTTTGCCATATAATACACATGGTACAAAGATAACAGTGTAACAAAATGTTCTGACATAGAAATTGAACTACATCGCAATGACAAACATGGTGGTGGCAGCTTTATGCTGTGAGAAACCTTTTCTTCTGCAGGAATCAGTAAACTGGATAGAGATTAAGCTAGTACAACCCTGGAAAGTGGAGGTTGCAAAAGATTAGGATTGTAGCCAAATTCACCTTCAAGCAGGAAAAATGTCAGCAAATAAATTGTATCAGTTCAATAAAATAAAATTAGTTTGTCTTAAATATTAGTGATTTGATGGAAATATTTGTTCTTAGTCAGTTAGCTTTAATTGCAAACTTAACAATAAAATATACCTTGATACTGAAAAAGTAATAGATTTCTGAATTCACAATGTTGACACTTTAATTAAAGCCAAACTGTATTTATGAAACAGCCAATAAGAAATAAGGTTCTCAACAAAGTCTGCCAAAAATCCCATCCACTGAATAAGAGAGGACAAATTAACAATTTAAACTATTTTTTTTAAAAAGCCATGGAATTATTTAACACAAAAAGAAATAATTATATGTATTTTTAAGTGAATTTATATGAAAAATACATTTAATTATTTGATATTATGTATTTTAAGGCATTAAGTGGAAAATTCATTTTCTGTCTTTTTCATGATCTGATTGTACATTAATATTGCATTTACATTTATGATGCTTTCAACATTTCACTGGGACATTTATTGTTGTGGTGTTAATTGTTAAATTTTTTATCTAGTCTATATTGAGCCTCTATACTAATTAAATGTAATTTTAATTAGGGATAGAAACTAAATAACACAAACAAGAAACTTTTCATCATCTCAGAAAGAGTGTGCATATCTGCGAGTCCATAAATAAAGGAGTTAGCACAAATTGAGTATGCTTCGCACCAAAGGTCCCTTATTTGTTTGGCGACATATCAGAGATTTGTTGCGGCTATGTTAACAGTTAACTCCGATTCAATATTAAGATTTTAAGATAATGTAAAATAAAAACAGTGCTCAGCATACTCTATAAAAGAACCTTCCTATGAAAACTGCTCATTATTAACATCAGATTGTTACCACAAGCGTCATAAAAATATCTTTGCTCTTTTTGTTTATAGATTTATGATTCCCTTATCTGTTTTACAATGAGATACCAGAGTTCAGCAGTGTCAACTGATAGAGGTTTCAAGATAATTGTACTACTAATTCCCATACTGCAGATGTAATCTGTTTCTAAAAATTCAATTAAACTGTTGTTAAGTACGATGTCATATTTTGGGATTAATGACAGAGTTAGGGGGTGGATTGTTATATAATAGATAGAGATAAATTTGTACAATTAAAAACAGTAAATAAAATCATGTACTAAAAGTAAATTGTCAAAATGTCTTTAAAGAAATACTGACCCAAATTTAAATTAATAATAATAATAAAAAAAAGAAATCGAAGTAACTCAGATCGTTTTTAGAGTATTTAACTATTATTCTAAGAGGTTTTAACTCTTACAATAAGGGACTACAATAAATGATTCTCATCATCAACAACACTTAAGCTACCATAGGAGCTAGGATGTTATTTCATACTCTTGTAGTGTACATAAACACACCGATCATTTACATTAAAAGAAAAATTACTTTATCCCTATCCCTTCTGTGAGCGACCAAACTTAAATAAGGACAAAAGGTGTTAAAAAATTGAAAAAGTGCTGTCATTTAATTGTGTCAAAAATAGTTAACAAAGGTTCAAAAGCAATACAAAATAACTTAAATACAAAATAACATGGATCTGGGCCCAACTTAACTGAGGTCAACTGAGGATCCAACT